CGCCCCAACATTCTGCCCGGGAACGCCCCAACGTTCTGCTCCTGAATGCCCCAACGTTCTGCCCGGGAACGCCCCAACGTTCTGCCCGGGAACGCCCCAGCGTTCTGCCCCCGAACGCCCCAGTGTTCTGCCTGGGAACGCCCCAGCGTTCTGCCCGGGAACGCCCCAACGTTCTGCCCGGGAACGCCCCAGCGTTCTGCCCCCGAACGCCCCAACATTCTGTCCCCGAACGCCCCAGCGTTCTGCCCGGGAACGCCCCAATGTTCTGCCCGGGAACGCCCCAACATTCTGCCCGGGAACGCCCCAGCGTTCTGCCCCGGAACACCCCAACCTTCTGCATGGTGCAACCCCCTTCTACAGGAGTCCAGCGGGGCTTTAACACAGAGTAGTCACGGGCATTGGCCTTCCTGATGTAGTCTATGCACTGCGATCCTCAGTAACCAATGCACGTAAGCACGCAGGCGTGTTCACACCATGCTTTGCGGGTACGCTGGCATTCCAGAAACCTGGAATAAATTCAAACACAGCAGGCAACCCTGTTTGGCAGGCAGCATGTGGCCGTCTCCATTGCCACCGCTCCCCGCCTCGCCAGCGGTCCTGAGGATGTGATGGCTCCACTGGCCGCGTTTGGCCTCTGGGCCAGAGGTTGAGCACCCCGGCTCTAGAGAGGCCCACTTCAACTGTAGTTCCCCCTTGTGCCGTTGTCAGAACCAGGCCTCTTTGTGATGAACGGCCACCTAGGCCCCCTGTCAGAAATGGGATGCTAAGCTACATGAACCGTTGGTCTGACCCAATGTGGCACTTATGTTCTCAATTTCTGTCATTGCGCCGCAATTTGGAGACTTCTTTCTGTATTCTGTCCCCCTTCCCCCCAATTTCTAGGAAATTCACAAACCCCACCTCAGGACTCCAAAGGGAGAAAACCTCACCAGCAGGTCTGGGTGCTGGTTCTGCACCTTGCTGGGTGCCCTCCAATCCTCCAGCAACTAATGGGAATGGAAGGCCTTCTGCACCTTCCAGGATCAGGTTGTGAAGGGCTTTCGTGTTTGGACAGGACCTCACAGTGTTCCTGTTGCTTTTTACCGAGCACTGACAGTTTGCTGGGCCCTGTTTAAACACAGAAGCCTCAGTAATTTCTGGAATGGAACTTTGGAAGAGGTCCCATCCTGCTCCAGGGCAACGCGTAAACTGAAGGTGTGCACAGAGGCTGATGATGATATACCTTGCAATGAGGTGATGTGAAGTCACAGCTGTTTGCCATAAAAGGAAGAGCCAGCATCTGAAATTAATAAACAACTGGTGTTAATGATGCCTAGTAACTGGGAAGGAAGTCAGCTGGAGGAATTACACTTATCAAATAGATAAGTGCAAGGTAAGTATGATTTCCCAGAGTACAAAAAGGAAAAAAACTCCACGGGCCATCTCTTGTGGCATACAGGAATTTATTTTTGTTACTGCCACACGATGCTTTCCCTAGAGCATAGCAGCTGTTTATTACCTATATTTGGCATGCATGCTACATTCAAATATATTACAAAACACAGGAAGAACACAGGAAGGGTGTGTATCTGTGAATAGGGGAAGGGCTTACACATTTAGTTTGAAGAACTTGTTTTATCTTGACTTCAGAATTAAATGGCAGGAGATTTTAACAGGATTAGAAATAATGGTAAAGAGTAATGAATAGCAAATTTGGATTGGATTGGCAGTGGACAAAACAGGAGCTGCAATCCTTATAACAGGAGCTCATGTTAGTACTGAAAAGCATCATTGGTAATAATTAGAATCTGCAGATCAGGTATTTAAAGCATAGAAATTACCAAAATACAACAGGCTAGCAAAATACAACAGGCTAGCCACAGTAAACTATTCCAAGTCCAGAGGAAGGTATATAAACCTATTCCCTGAAGCATGAGTTTATATCCCAGATACAAAAAAATCACATCTAGCACAACAGTAGATGTTCAAATTCTTCATAAAAATGCTTAATCCTTTTTTTGTTTTTAATGTGGCTTTGCTCTTGGCCTCTCCCACTTCATAGTCACAGCCTTCACATTTTCATAATGATTTGTATAAAAGAGTATTTCATTTTACTGTCAGTTTAGGTTCAAGTATATTAACACAGTGAAGTGTGTGTTTATGTTAGGATAGGAGAATAAACTATTCATTTTTCAGTACTGTGTGCACACATCTGCGATGTAAGAAAAAAGGCTGTTGTAGTTAAATCTCTGCTTTCTGGGCTATCAGTCTCGTACTTTGGCTTCCTAAATCACATTTTAGAAAAAAGAAGTGTTTTCAAAACTGTACTTGGTAGACCTAAACAGTTGAAGCTTAACCTGAGGTTCTGTCAGGACTTCTTCAACAAGAGGTAGAAGATTGTTTTGAAGGATGTGGGCAAGGATTTTCCCTCCTGTGGAAAGGAGGGTGTTAACTTGGTAGTTCCTGCACAGACTTATCTCCTTTCTTGAAGATGGCCATGGTGTTGTCATTCCTCAGGTCCCTCTTGGTTGTTCCAAATTTGAAGAATAAATTTGTGGAGTATCAGGACCAGTTGCTTGCCACCAGCCTTGGAGATTTCAGCAGGTATGCCATCCAGTCCGGTATTCTTGTTGTTTTTGGTTTCTTTGATGGCATGTCAGACTTCTAGGATAGAAGAGTTGGCAAGGGCTCCTTTTCCAGGGTATTGGAAGGATGGACTTGATGGTGGTATCCTCCACATTTGACTCACGGTTTAGGAGTGCCTCAAAGTGTTCTTTCCATCTAGCTTGGATAGATTCATTCTCTTTGAGGACTGTCAAGTCATCCTGTGATCACAGGAAAGTAGGACCATGGGAAGTTGGGCCATAGATGGCTTTTGCTGCCTGGAAAAAAGCTATGCATGTCATGTTTATCAGCTTAGAACTGGACTTCCTTGGCTTTATCTTGCCACCACTGATTTTTTATTTCCCAAATCCTTCTTTGGGCTTTGGCTTTGAGGAGCTGGTACATTTTTTTCTTTTGCTGATATAAGTGTCATTTTCCCAAGCAGAATGAGCCCTTCCCTTCTGGTCAAGGAGGGCTTGGATCTTGGCATTGCTCTCATAAAACCAGTGTTAGAGTCAATGGGCAGTATAGTCAATGGATTCAGCACAGATCATATGGATAATGATTTTAAACCTTTCCACAGTTCGTCAATGTTGCCTTCATTTGTGGACAGGTCAGAGAACTTTTTGTGGAGGCACCATTGGAAATCCTTACAGACCTTTGGATCTTGAAGAGATTTCACATTGCTGAAGAGTCCTTCACA